CTCACTCACTCCTGCCTCCACACTCCTCTCACTCACTCACTCCTGCCTCTACACTCCTCTCTCACTCACTCCTGCCTCCACACTCCTCTCTCACTCACTCCTGCCTCCACACTCCTCTCTCACTCACTCCTGGGGACCCCTGAGCCCTGACCCTGACAGCAGTTCTGCTGGCTCTCTGCAAGCTTCCTGCTTTCTACACCCATTCGCTCTTCAACTACCCAGACTGCCCTGCAACCTGCTCGCATCCCAATTAGCACTCTGTGGTAAGTAAGGCAGCCAGTCTTAATTAAAATCTTCACCAAGAGAAACCTTTTCTGTATCTGTAATTGTGAATCCCCCTGATGACTACCGTCTTGATTCATTTAGTCCACACTTTAACAATTATTAATACAAACAAGCAAAGTAACAAGTACAGACACTGTTTAGACTCCAGGAGGACGATATCTTGCTTCACCTTAATTTTTTCACCCGAGGTTCCAATGCAGTGAAATCTACTCATTTCTTAAAGCCAATTTTCAGATGGGCAGTGGAGCAACATGACAGAAACTGCAAGAACATCGCTCCAGCCCACACAGCTGGGCAGCTGCAGGGATTCTGCAAGTGAAGATCTCGTCCTTCTGGGCAGCAGGTGAACCCATCAGCGCAAGGAAGCGCCACTCCCAGCCTCGGACACTTACTGCACCGTTCCTGCACTACCGCAGGTGCAGGCAGGCATCACAATAACGCAGCAGGGAGCCCACAGACTGGCGCCTCCGTGCAGTGATGGACTCAACCCTTCCCACAGAGCCCCAGCCCACGGCGCTGGCCCCTCTGCCCCACTGGTGCAGCCTCAGCCCAGTGGGGCAAGAGGGGTGACCAGCTGGGCAGTCGGGCAAGCCACAGGTCTAAAAGGCAAGAGTGACCCCCCCCCCGCCCCCGCCCCACCCCACCCTGAGCACGCTCACAGCAAAGCCAAGCAGGAGAGAGCAGAGGAGAGGGCAGCAGGAGAGGGGTCAGAGTGGGGTGAGGTCAGAGGTCAGAGGTCAGCTCATCTTCCTTGTCCTTCCAGGGGACAGGGAGAGGGGAGATATGAACCCCTGTCCTGCGGGGCGGTGCGCCCCAGGTTTTCACATGCACAGCGCAGCAGACTTGTGTTCAGACTTGGGGTCACCACCAGGCACACACTGGGACCACCCCCCTCCCCGGCATCACAGATCGCTCAGCCCGGGAGCGCTAGGGGGAGCTTCAGGCTGCGACTGGGGGCCAGAGGGAGCGTGGCCACTGACTGACCGATCCTCTCCAGCGGACGGAGGGTCAGCCCCTGCACCGCGTGACCCCAGCTCCGCGTGGGGCAGGGCTGCCAGGTCAGGTGGGCTAAACGGGTCGAACTGCACTCGGAACTGAGAACGGGAGGCACTGTTCCACGCAAAGTACTGGAGGCGTCCGAGTCAAGCCGATGGCCGGGATGAGATCCTCAGATCAATTAGCTACTCATTCCCAAACAGGCTGGTTGACCATTCAAGTGGACCATCAAAGACAGTAACTGCGAGGTTCCTCCTGGACAAGCCTCGTTGCCCTGACTGCGCGAGACATGCCGACAATCTGAGCGGCTGTGCTCCCAAATTCCTGAATCCAGGGGGCCGTGGCTGTCAGATGAACGGAGCTCTGAAAAGGGCCCTCAGCATCATCCTGTCTTCCCTGCAGCCTTGACCTCCGCCCTCCAGACAGAGACCGACACCGCAGCCGCAGGGACGTTGCCGCGGACGCAGCATAAAGCCCGCGGCTCACGACGGGCCTGGGACAGCGCAGAGGGGCTCAGGGCCCTGAACTGGACTCAGGGCCCGTCATCGCAGGCCTCCGTCCCTGGAGAGTCCAGACCTGCACAGCCCGAGCTCGGCTAACAGAACAACCAGTCCAACTGCATCGCAGCCAGCAAGCGCTGAGGCTCCGTGGGCTGGGAACGCAGACTCCTGGATCGGGGGGAGAGGAGGAGGAGGAGGAGGGATGGGGGACGGGGAGCCTGGCTGCAGCAGCGCGGATATTTCTGGAAGGCAGCTCTGCTCTCCGCGGTGAGCGCGGCACAGCTTTGATAAATGGGACCTCCAGGAGCTGCTGCCTAAAATAAAACTCCTTCACATCGGACGACCTCGTTTCCTGTGCGAGCCACTGACCTACTTAAGCGGACGAGCGGCCCGATGTAGGACATCTGAAACCCGTCCTTCCAAACTTCGCCGCGGAAGAGCGCAGAACTTCCGGACCCCAGAGAGGAAGCTATCCAGAGAAGTGGGAGCCTCACAACCCAAACCCCCCAAATTAAGGGACACCCCAAGATTCCCCGCCCATCTGCGGAACAGGGGCACATAGCCGAGCAACGTAAGAACATAAACATTGCTAAGAAGAGGAAGCTGTTCATGCTCATCGCGTTTGGTTACTAAGAACTAACTGATTCGAGAATCTCACCCAGCTTCTCACTGAAAGAAGCCAGGGCACAGCTGGGCCGCTTGTTGCACACTCCTACCACCCTTTGGGTAAAGACGCGCCCCCGCCCCAACTCTCGGCTGTAAAAGCAGTTTCCTGTGGTCCCCCCCTGTGCGCCAGGCTGGCAGGCTGTGTGCCCGCGTGCCCCTTGTCCTCAGAGCAGGGGCGAGTCCTGTCGGAGCGAGAGCGCTGGGACACTTTCCGAGCGCAGGGGCTCCCCGTCGGGACCCCTGGCAGCCCCTGCCGCGGACTCGCGGAGACACAGGTCAGGAAGCTGAAAACCAAAATTCAAACGACCAGTTCGTACGTAAGGAGGAGCGGAGGGTAGGAATG